CGCTCACACCCTCGCTAACTGTGCTCGCTCACGCTCACACCCTCACTCACTGTGCTCGCTCACGCTCACACCCTCGCTAACTGTGCTCACTCACGCTCACACCCTCATTGTGTTCATTATTTTTTTTCTCCACAGGATGCTGGAGGTCAGCAGATTGGCTTCTTGCTAGGGAGTTGTGGGATTGCCTTAGCTCTCACCAGTGAAATTTGTCTGAAGGGCCTGCCAAAAACCCAGAATGGAGAAATTGTCCAGTTTAAAGGTGAGTAATATTCATTCCCAAATTACCCATTGAAAGTCAGGCCTGAGTACTTTAGATTTTTGTTTGTTTGTTTTTTGCTTTTTTCAAGACATATTTTCTCTGTGTAGCCCAAGCTGTCCTCGAACCCACAGAGATACAAGCTGCCTCTGCTGCCTGAGTCCCGGCTAGTTAGAATTTTAATAGAGTAACAACTAAGGACTTCACGTGTATTTTTTGTTTGTTTATTTTTAATTCTTAGTCACTTGAGATGGGTATAGTATAGTAATTATCCTCATTTTTCAGGTAGGAAATTGAGAAACAGAATCCTTAAATTCCAGCTAATAAATTGCAGAACGGTGATTTGAACCCAATCTGTGAGGTTCTGTAGTCACTCTTAACCTTTGTACGTTAAGGCAGGGATGATAGGACTCACGACTCTGCAGGCTTCCCTGACGCATGAGTCTCCCGTTGTGGAGGGGTCAAGCCCGCATTCTCATGTGGAATAAATGCTCTTTTGAAAAAAAGCTATAATTAGCGACTTTTCACTAAACCTAGTAAAAATTAAGTATTTTATTGATGATGAAATTATCTTAATATGCTGATTTGATGTTTAAGATGACTAGTTCAGTGTGAAGTCCTCCACTGGTGGCTTAAGCAGTTCAATGTTCACTCTGGGTTGACAGGTTGGCCTCGGCTCAAGTGGGTTGTAACAGATTCCAAGTACCTTTCAAAGCCTCCCAAAGACTGGCAGCCCCACATCTCACCCGCTGGTACAGAACCAGCATACATCGAGGTAAGTCTGGAGACAGTGTGTATTTCTTGGCTTTTTTTATGCTTTAGATGCATGTTAGTGACTGCTAAGAGGTATTTTTTTTTTTTTTTTGTAATAACAAGGATAGGTAAAACTTGAAATAGCTTTGGCCACGAAAGAAAAGGGTGGGCATACTGCTGACGCAAAGACAGAGAGTGGGGCATGTTTGAAGCCATTCAGTGAGGGGCTTCCCTCATCCCACCCCTCCTGGGAATGAGCTGGTGGCATCCTGGACTGCTGCTGGGGTTGGTCCTCCTTAGCACCCTGGCCTCATGGGAAACATCCTTGCTCTGTACTTCTAGGCCCTACTCCTTAGAATCCCCTTGCTTGAGAGCCTCATGTTACCCACAGGTTCTCTACTGAGGTGGGAACTTCTAAAGGGTTGTCAGTAGGCGAGAAATAAGATTGACTTTATTATATAAAAAAGATTTGTCTAGGCCAGCTGGGCGGCTCAGCAGGTAAGCACTCGCCACTCAGACTTGATAAGTTTGACCACAAAAACCTCACATAAAGGTGGAAGGAGAGAACCAACTCCACCAATCTCCACACATGTGCTATGGCAGGTGTACCCCCTGCACACACACCTTACACATAAATAATATTGAAGTTTTTAAAAAGATTTATCTAGATTGGCTGGGCTATAAAGGGAACACTAGGTTCTAGGGTAGGGTTTTTTTTATTTTATTTATTTATTTATTTATTTATTTTTTTGGTTTGGTTTTTTTCCCTGTAAATTTTATATGTATGAGTGTTTTGCCTGTGTGTCCATGAGTGGACCATATGCATGTAATTCCCACAGAGGCCAGAAGATTGCATTAACTTTCCTAGAACTGTAGTTCTAGACAGTTGTGAACTGCTATGTGGGTGCTGGGAACGGAACTGAGTCCTCTGGAAGAGCAGCCAATGCTCTTAGCTTCTGAGCCATCTCTCCAGCCCTAGCCTGCATTTAAAGAAAAGCTTTTGAGCTGGAGACGTGGCTCAGTGCTTAAGATCACAGGCTGCTCTTCCAGAGTTCAATCCCCAGCATTCACATGGCAGTTCACAATTGTAACCCCAGTTTTAGGGGATCTGGCACCCTCATACAGACATACATTCAGGCAAAACACCAGTGCAAAGAAAATAAAAATAGGTATTTTTTTTTAAAAAAGTTATTGAAGTGAGCCAAAGCTCATGGAGATGGCTAAGAGAAGTGGATAGGGTTGAGAGACAGTAGGGAGTAGAGCCAGCCAGATTTGGTGACTGGTTGTGAAGGGAGAAAAGGCATCTGGATGAATGGCAGAATTCTTCAGTTAAATAGAAAATATAGAAAGAGTCAGGCAGTGTGTGGTACACGCCTTTAATCTCAGCACTCAGGAGGTAGAGGAAAGTAGATCTCTATGAGTTCAAGGCTATACTCACAGCCTTGTCACATACATATAAATGTCACATAGTGAATTTCAGGACAGCCTGGTCACATAGTGAGTTCCAGGACAACCTGGTCTACCTAGTAAGTTCCAGAACAGCCAGGACTTCATAGTGAGACCATGCCTCAGAAAAACAAGAAAACACAGAGAGAGTTCTCATGGGTGGAGGTGGGGGGTGGAACGGAGAATTGGTAACATGCTTTCCCGTGACAAGCAGGATCCTATGAGTCTAGGTCTCTGAAGGAGAGACTAGTGGACACAGAGCCAACAGTCAAGTAAAGATACCACATCCTGATGGCAAAAGGGTAGGAAGGAGGGGAATTCTCAGGTGTGCCAGCATTTAAGGCATAGTCAGAGATGATTCTGGGTAAGACAGCTCATGAGAGTCTGAGGCAGGAGTATTGCCACAAGTTGCAGGCAAGCCTGGGCTACATTGTGAGACTTTGTCTTGGAGAGGAAGAAAATAAAACTCAGAGATAGAGTAATGAGAGGGAGAAACCCGGAGACACAAAAGCTAACAAGGAACTCAGATGGGCAGAGATCTGCTGGGTAAATTGTGGAAAACCTCTTTGATCTGACGAGAAGGAAGGCTGCACCCTGGATGAAACACTGATGATAAAAGTGAAGACGCCGTCTGCAGGAGTGAACGGGGCCCTGCTGCCGCTCAGGCCCTGCTGCCGCTCAGGCCCTGCTTCTTCTTGGTTTTAGTGTTTCTGTGGCACTAGGGGAGCAAACCAGTGTCTCACACAGCTCGGCAAGCATTCTACCATTGAGCAGCTACTGAGAAATGGCTATATTTGGCATTATGCTTCTGTTCATATAGCTCAAATCTCTTGGCATTAGTTTTTTTGGTGACTACATCACGTCTCCGAGTGACTAAACTTTGAGGTCATTTTGCACATGCTCCAGTTGGGCTTCATTGTCATCCAGTTTGGGCTCTGTTTGACTAGTTCGGGATCCAACTGCAAATAATAAATAAAAATGGTTTATCTAGGTTTAGGTTTGGGCTCTGAATTTTGTCACTTCTAATAACCCATCTTATTGTGCTTCTTATAGTTTTGTTTTGTTTTATTTTTCTAGTATAAAACAAGCAAAGAAGGGAGTGTAATGGGAGTCACAGTGTCCCGACTTGCAATGCTGTCCCACTGCCAAGCGCTGTCACAGGCCTGCAATTATTCTGAAGGTCAGACCTCATCCCATGACTGCTCTCATTGTTAACTTCAGATACTTGTGGCTGTGAGCGCCCACTTGGTGATTGGACTCCATTTAATGACCAAAATCAGAGGGAAATGTTCCAGGGCACATTCTTGGCTTGCTTTTGCCTTCTTTTTCTTAAAAAAAAAAAAATCCTGTAATTTAAATAAACTTCTAGACAAACAAGATATATAAAGTCTTATTTCTAGAGTACGGAGATAGAAAACTGTATTTTTAGGCTGGGGTGGGGGGTGTTCTCAGGTGTCTCTATCTTCCCATGGAAAACTTCCAATTAAGTACTTCTGGTCTAAGCTGTGCTGCTCCGCGGGTTCAGAGTAAAACAGAAAGCACTCTGAAGCCGGCGCTGTGGCCCACAGCTGTAGTGCTGGCGTGCTAACACAGTGAGGAGCAGGGGCAGTTTGAGGCCAGCCTGGAGAGCTATGATACGAGATGAGAACCTCTCTCAAAAAAATAAACAAAACCAAAAATGCACGGACACAAATTTTAAATCTTTTGCTATACAAATATATATTGCATAATTTCAGTCCAGACTGACATCCACCTCATGCCTTTTGTACCAAAATCCCAGATATGGGCACTTTAGACCCGACTAAAGTGTTACTTCCCAATGTTCCATTTTCTTTGCTTTCAGAGCAATCTTTGTCTGATTTTAAATATGTCCATAGGCATGTGTGAGAACAATCATATGCCACAACTGGGTCCTGTTAAGTTCCAGGGGTTCATTCAAAGATTCTGACCTAGGGAGCTGAAACTCAAGCTCCTGAATATTAGAAATAGAGAAATCTATCATTGAGTGAAAACAATTAGATGCAGGCTTATGTATGCCTGTTTTATCTTGTTGATAATCTGTCTATAGATATACCTAGAAATGGGCAACTATATACATAGGGTTTTATGTAGAACAATATTTCATTCTTTTCAAAAAAACATGATTTTTACATATATTTGTGAAAATTCCAGAGTTTCTTTTTTTTTAAAGACTTATTAATTATGTATACAGGATTCTTCCTGAATGTATCCCTTTAGGCCAGAAGGGGTAACCAGATCTCATTACAGATGGTTGTGAACCACCATGTGGTTGCTGGGAATTGAACTCAGAACCTCAGGAAGAGCAGGCAGTGCTCTTAACCTCTGAGCCATCTCTCCAGCCCCAGAGTTTCTAAAACGAATATATGTTCCTTATTTCACTAGGAAAAAACTTTTGAATAATATCTCTAAATGCTACAGAGTTTCTACCTTAGTGTGTCTGCAGTGGCCAGAGACTCTGATCCCCTAGTGCTTTTCCAGAAGCACAGAATGCTTGGTCGGGGCGTGAACGCGACTGTCACTTTCTGCTCACCATGACCTCTTCCCGTTTCCCTCATCTTTTCTAGGAGAAGCCGTAGTAAATGTTTTAGACTTTAAGAAGGACGCTGGGCTGTGGCATGGCATGTTTGCGGTAAGCTGTCAGAGTCAGTGCCTTTGTACTAAGATATGTCTGAGGCTGGGGCTTTGTGGCAAGTGTATCTCTTGGGACTTGTAACTGGAGTTCCCAAAATAACATTTTTTAGAGGACACACAAGCATGAGGACCTGAGTTTATATCCTCAGGATCCATGGAAAGCCAGGTACGGTAACGCATATCTGTAATTCCAGTGTGAGACTGGAGGGAGAGACAGTAGAATCCCTTAAAGCTGTGCCCAGCCAGCTTGGTGCAGCCGCGGTGAACTGTGAGCCTTCTCTGCCTTGGGCTGCAGAGATGGCTCAGTGTTAAGAACTCTTGCTGCTTTTGCAGAATATCAGAGTTCAGTTTCTAGTGCCTATGTCAGGTGGATTACAACTACCTGTAATTTCAGAGAAGGAAGAGAGGCCAGTAAATTAATTTAAATAAAAGAGGCCCTGTCTTAAAGCAGGATGCAAGGCCCAACGCCCAAGGTTGTCATCCAACCTTTACACTCACACCATGGCACACGGGTCCACAGCCATACATGAACATTCAGGGACACACATGTATACATACAGTAAGAAAAAGACAAAACTACATGCTTGGAGCACAGAATAGAGTACCAAGGAAGAGGGGCTTCCTGTAATAGGATGGGGAGCACAAGGAAGAGGGGCTTCCTGTAATAGATAGGGAGCATGCCGTGGGTGCCTTCTCACTCATCCAGTCACCTGAGAATTTCTATGAGGAGATGACAGCCAAGTTGGACTTAGATAACTAAGATGGATAACTTAGTTTATCTAGGTAGAGATTTTTGGTGGGCAGAGTTGGAAAGGGTTTGTTTCTTTGGGAAAACTATGTATAACATGCAGTTAGGTGGAAGGAAAAATATGGGATCATGAAGTTGGAAAGGCCTTTAGAGAGCTAAGCACCTAGTCCAGGATCTAGAGAGATGGTTCAGCGCTTAGAGGAGCACTTGCTGTCTTCAGGGAACCCAAATTCTGTTCCCAGCACCCATATCAGGCAGCTCATGAACACCTAGTTCTAAGGGATCACACACACACACACACACACACACACACACACACACACACACACATACACACACACACACACACACATGCACACTCTCTCCTCTGTCTCTGTCTTTCTCTCTCTCTCTGTCTTTCTCAGTAAATAAATAAATAAAGGAGAGGGCATCTAGTCCCAGCTCCTTAGGGGTGTAGGCCCTTCCACCCAGGACACCCCGCCCCCATTTTGGAAGAGCTGTATCTCTTGCAAATCTATTTCCTTTTTTTAAAACCGGAAGTTACCGAATGGAAGCTGTGAAAGGAGGGTCTTCTTCCAGCGCAGACAGAACATTTTCCCTGAAGCTCACTTAGCGCCAGCACTAGGACTTGATGGTGCAGGGATGGCACCTTGTGTATAAGGGCGAGTAAATGGCGAGTGATGTAGCTAGTCTCAGGTTTAATTGGGGATGGTGGCTGATAATTATAATTCTAGTACTTGGGAGTCTGAGGCAGAAGAATCACCATGAGTTCAAGGCTAGCTTGACACACACACACATGCTAGCTTGAATATTCGAATTCCAAACAAGGTAGGATGATATCTCTCTCTCTCTCTTTCTCTCTCTCTCTCTCTCTCTCTCTCTCTCTCTCACACACACACACACACACACACACATCCCAACAGAATCACCACAGGCTTGATTACTCTGCTTCACTAGGTCTCTGGGGATTACACGTCCTTGATGTGGATGGCAGAAGGGACAACAAGCTGCCTGACCCTCAGTTCTCTCAGCTTCATTATGTTCACAAACACTTAACCTGTAGGGAACAGGAAAAGGAGTCTTTTCCTTTGTAGTGCTGTCCCATTCTCATCCTTCCCCTCAGCCTGTAGTGTGTGACAAGCAGGAGCACCATGGAGCACTAGGTGGGTTGGGAACGGTTTAGTAGTACCTACTGACTGTGTAAAAGCAGCAACTTTGTGACTCAGCAGGGCTTCTCTTCTCTATCTACCCTAAAGAAACAGTCGTGTGCATGCCAGGGGATGTGAGAGCGGATGCATTGATTCCGCACTCGCTATGACATGTGTAGCCATATAAAGGGGACTGGAGCTCTCTGATTCTAAGGTGCCTAGGTTTATCTATGAAACAGTCAAAGTGAAAAGCAGCAAGTGGTAGGTACATGTATACCGTGGTGGCTTTCATTTAAAGACCTCTGTGTTTCTAAAGTCACACATATATGTCTGTGTGTGGACACAGGACCGGAGGGATAGACACTCACTGCTGTGATGCCTGGGAGAGAGGAGCAAACCAGGGCTCGAGCAGCTCTCAGAGGTGCTGCAGTGCTCCTGCTAGAACTCAGTATTTTTCGAGAGGGTGGACTTGAGTCGTGCCCTGTAACATCGTTAGAAGAGTGTCAGCACCACTCTAAGGTGCTAATTTCACGCTTTGTATCGACTGCTTTGTGTGTTTCTTTGCTTTTCAGAATGTCATGAATAAGATGCATACAATTAGTGTACCCTACTCTGTTATGAAGACCTGTCCTCTCTCATGGGTCCAAAGAGTCCATGCCCACAAAGGTAATCACACACATGCACGTGCTAGCTATGAGACTGGTGGAGTGTGCCCTGTAGAGAACAATCTCTGCCGTGGTGGCTCCCCACATTCTAGAGCTGATACTGTGGGTATGCTGTTGTGTTATCTCACTGTGCTCTTCCTTACAAATTGGACTTTCTGGAATTTGAGCTGTTGTTAGCTCTACTGAATGCTGTGTTATCAGAATTCCTGTGACTGTGAGCTGTGAACTGGACAGGATCACACAGGCTTTCTTAAACTCTTAAAATTGTTCTTCAAGTGAGAACTTTTACAAACTTAGTAAAAATATTGTTATTGTATTACATTGAATCTGGGCCCAAATTTAGCATGGGTGTGTTTTATGACTCTTTCCCATTGCATTTGTAGCCAAAGTAGCTCTTGTGAAGTGTCGAGACTTACACTGGGCCATGATGGCACACCGGGACCAAAGGGACGTAAGCCTGAGTTCTCTGAGGATGCTGATTGTCACTGATGGCGCCAATCCCTGTGAGTGCGGGTGTAGCAATCCCAGAACATCTGACAGGCAGGGTGCCTTGCTGCTTTTCTGCTTCTGACATCTGTACTGAGGGTCACTTATAAGTGATGCTTGTCCATTTCAAGGGTCTGACTCGGTGTTGTGGTGTTTGTATCTGCGCAGCTGTCACCATGACTCAAGTTTCAAAACACCTGTTAGCCTAAGAGAAACCACACGCTCACTCTTTGTCACTCTTGATCCTCTCCAGTGTCCCTCACCTAAGACTCTCATGAATTTCCTTCCTCTAAAACAAAACAAAACAAAACAAAAAACAACAAAAAAACTGATTTAAAAAATTTGTGTGTGTGTCTGTTTGAGTATATGTGTGCAGTAGAAGAGGGAACTAGAGTTCCAGGTGGTTGTGAACTGCCTGGCGTTGGGGCTGCAGCAGAACTTGGGTCCTGTGGAAGAGCAGCAGGCTCTCTTCAGCTGCTCTCACTCCCTGTTCTGTCTGTAGATTGGCCTGCTCTGCACACTGTTTAGTAATAGGCTTCTCTCAGCTGGCATGTTCTGCACTTGTCTGTACCTTTTCGTTGGCATGTTGTCCATCATAGACACACCACAGCTCCAGGAAGCCGTGCCTTGCTCGTTTAAATCCTCCATATGAGGATTTGAGTGAAAGGAGAGGTTTGGATGTAACTTAATATGTATTTTATGGACTTGGTGTGAATTCTTCCAAGGAGCAATTAGAGGGAACTTGCAAGAAACTTCTAGAGATCTTACTGTGCTGTCTGCTTTTCTGGGTAAGCACAACAGCCCACTCTGGGGACTTGGTGAAGCATTGACAGCTGTGCTCTATTTCTTTCGTTTCTTACCCATCATCCTTATGAACTTATGAAGGAAGAGTCAGAGACCATCACTGAGAGCAGGTGGGATTGCTGTGGCTGTGCTGCCATGGCTACGGTAGATACTTCAGGGGCTGCTCGAGTCCCACCTGGCTGCAAATTACCTGCATTGTTGTCTCTGAGCTTGCTCTGTCTCCTTGGCAGGTGTAGCCTTTCCAGATTGTAACTGTAAGTACTGTCAGGATCTTTCCTGGCTTGAATGAGCATGTGTCCAGCCCTCACAGGCACAGTAAACTGCACGGAATGACTGATGGACAGTGAAAGTACTGACAGACAGCTATGTCACACACACCTGTTAGTTTCTGACAGTAAGGAAATGGTTGTTTCAGCTTTCAAGTTGATCTGTTCCAACTCCTTAGGGTCTGTGTCATCCTGTGATGCTTTCCTGAGTCTATTCCAAAGCCACGGACTGAAGCCGGAAGCCATCTGCCCATGTGCCACGTCTGCTGAGGCCATGACTGTAGCCATCCGCAGGTACTGCTTAGGATGCCAGAGTCTCTTGATGGCTGTCACAGCCTGGATGAGACGTGTGGTTTTTTTTCTCAGTGATGAGAATAGAATTTTAAATGATTATCTGCTTCATAAACCTAAAAGTTAGAACTGGAGATGGCTTAGCAGTCAAGAGCACTGGCTGCTCTTCCAGAAGACCCAGATTCAATTCCCAGGACCCACACGGCAACTCACAACTTTCTGTAACTCCAGTTCCAGGGCTTCTGACAGACTCACACAGACATATATGCAGGCAAAACACCAATGTACATAAAATAAAAAAATAAATTATTTTTAAAAAATGCTAAAAGTAAAATTTACCTAGTAAAGTCATTTCAAGCATCTCATTATTTTTCTTCTTGCCAGAGTATACCTTGAAACTGAAATTAAACTTCAATTATTCTTATCTCATTTTGTGAGTTATTTTTCTATGTTGCTTACACTTCAGAATCCTTTGCATCTTAAATTAGAAGTAGGCTGTTTTTTTGTTGTTTTCTGTTTTTCTTTTATATATTCATATGTTTATATATGTGTGTATATATATAAATATAATTTATTTTTGTTTTATGTTTTACCTGCATGAGGGTATCAAATACCCTGGAACTGAAGTTATAGACAAGTGTGAGCTTGTGGGTGCTGGGAAATGAACCCAGGTCCTCTGTATTTATATAGACCTGGTTTGATGGTTTGTTTGTTTTTTTCACATTTTAGGCCTGGGGTTCCAGGGGCTCCCTTACCAGGAAGAGCCATTCTTTCAATGAATGGATTGAGCTATGGGGTAATACGGGTCAATACTGAAGATAAAAACTCAGCCCTGACAGTCCAGGATGTGGGACATGTGATGCCTGGAGGTGAGTTGTGAGGCTGTTGTTGGGATTTCATGAGAAATAGTGGTGCTGCATTAGAAAGGTAGCTTGTTGGTGGATTGCCCGCTGGGCATGCCCAGAGCTCTGGCTTCCATCCCTAGTACCTCGTAAAGAGAGGAATGCTAGAGGAGGTGTAACATGAAGGGCCTGCTTGTTGGGGTTTCTGTCCTGCCCAGTTCCCACAACCAGTAAGCCCCAAAGAAAATCACACAGAGGTTCTGCATTAGTTATAACTGATTGGCCCATTAGCTCAGGCTTCTTATTAGCTCTTGTAGCTTATATTAACCTATTATTCTTATCTGTGTTAGCCACATGGCTCAGTACCTTTTTCAGCAGGGCAGGTCACATTCTGCTTCTTCAGTGATCTGGGTACAATTGGGGAGGAATGAGCTTCTTCCTTCCCAGCATTCTCCTGTTCTCATTGCTCCACCTTTACTTCCTGTCTGGTTGTCCCACCTATACTTCCTGCCTGGCCAATCAGGGTTTATTTAACACATGATTGACAGAATAGAGACAATTCTCCTGCGCCAGGAGGAACAGAAGACTGGCAAACCAGAGGGTTAAACGCGGACATCCAGTTTCACTGCTTAGTCATATCATTTCTGTGAGCCACTCCAGCGACAGACTGGGTGTCGTCATGTTGGCCCTGCGCTCACTGCATGAGGTCAGAATCTCAAAAGCACGTGTAATTACACTCTTTACGAGGGTGCCAGTCATTGTTTTCACTGGAGTTGCCGACCCAGGAAGGCAGAGAGTGCTGCTCTTGTGGGTGCTGTCCTGACCCTGAGGAAGGCCAGCACCTGCTTCATCGGGAGGCTGATACAGTCCTTCCGCGGTGCACCCATGTCTAAGAGCTGTTGGTGCCAAGTAAACTTCGCAGGTTCATAGCTCTCTGTGGCACTTCTGTTGGCTGTTCTTTTGTTTTTGTTTTTGTTTTTTCAAGATAGGGTTTTACTGTAGCTTTGGAGCCTGTCCTGAAACTTTCTCTGTAGACCAGGCTGGCCCATGCTCACAGAGATCCACCTGCCTCTGCCTCCCGAGTGCTGGGGTTAAAGCTGTTCTTAATGTTACTTCAGGAAGTGTGCAGCTCTCTGAGTTTGTAAGTGAAGTTGTTGCTTTGCAGTTTTCTAGACTGTCCTGTTCTGTTTTCTGCACACTAGGCATGATGTGCATTGTGAAACCAGACGGACCTCCTCAACTCTGCAAGACAGATGAAATCGGAGAGATCTGTGTTAGCTCCAGGACTGGAGGGATGACATACTTTGGACTTGCTGGTGTGACCAAAAATACATTTGAGGTACGTGATGTTATTTCTCAGGGACATGATGGGTGAGGTCAGATGTTATATGGAGACCTGCTATCTTCACAGCACAGCACAGCACAGGACAGCACAGGACAGCACAGCACAGCACAGCACAGGACAGCACAGCACAGGACAGCACAGCACAGCACTGGACAGGACAGCACAGGACAACACAGCACAGCACAGCACAGGACAGCACAGCACAGCACAGCACAGCAGTGGTTGAGCTCAGGGCTTCAGGAGCCCGATGCCTAGCATCAGATTCTACTCCTCCACTCACTGGCTGCTGTGGGAGCCGTTTTGCCTTACTGAATGCCCAGTTCCTTTATCTTAAGATGTGTGTGGTAGGCAGACATGGTGGCCAGTGCTTGCAGTCACAGCACTTGGGAGCCTGGGGACAGGGACTACACCTGGGCTGCAAACAGGACCTTGTCTCCAGAAACGCAGAAGCAGAACAAAAGGTGAATAGTAACAGTGCCTATCTTACCTCGTGGGCTGTTTTGAACACTAAATAAATTAATGTTTCCTCATGGACTAGGTCAGCCTCTGGCACAGGACGTGGTGTGGTATCTGTCGGGTATTAAAGGAATGAGGCCTCACAATGATTTACTCCAGCAGATTTGCCGCTGGTAGAGCTTTCTGAGTTGAAGATTTTGACTTTGAGAGCACTGTGACAATTGTACTTGCTGCATTAGATCGCTGATAAAGGCGTGGGACTGGGAGATGGACAGCGCTTGCTGTGTGAGCATGAAAGCCCGAGTTGAGATTCCCCAGAGCTAGGCGTGCATCACAGCTGCCCTAGTCCCAGGCAAACCACCCAGCCGCACTAACGGACTTGGCAGGCTCTGCATTCAGCAGAAAGTGCACCTCAGTGAAGAAGACCCCAACATCAGATTTGAGCTTCGCACACGTGCATTCACGTGCAGATACACATGTACGCGTATAAAAAGACTCAACCTGTTGCAGGAGTCATATTGCTCCTCATGCAAGTACCCACTGACTCCTCTCTCTGCCTGCTCTGTTCTGGGTGCTGGGGACACCTGAATCAGGGCACACGGAGCTGCTGGGACAGTGCACGGCCTTCCTGTAGGCCTTCTCCTTGCAAAGCTGAATTGTAATGAGAAGTTGCCCTGCTGAGCCTGCATATTGGAATAGGTGGTTAATTATCTGGGTTACTTTTTAGGAGCCAGAGAAATTTTGTTGATGGATTATGATTCCCTTACACTACTAGATGGGACTAGCAAGAACACTGCTGACTTTAGCGCTGTGAATTGCTTTCTCTGTAACAGCGTCATTCAGGTTTCTCAGAAGATAGGACAGTGTAGAGTAAGTCTGCAAACATCGGAAGCTGCATTTCAAGCACTCTGTTTGGAAATGACTGCATGCGATTGTACAGTAGCTGTCACTGGTGGCAGCATGGCTTCTGTGTGACAGTGCACCTGTGTTGTCTGTCACGTGCTCCCTGAAGGGGACTAAGAACAGGATGAAGCAGCATAGTATGAACCTGTTCCTGTCATCAGCACCATCGCTTCAGTGCCCTCGATGCTGTTTCCATTCACTGCGGGAGTGGAAGTGTGCAGGTGCCCAGGCTCTTGGTCGCCACGCGGCTGTGTTTCAGTCTGTGCACGTGTTGTTGCCCTGCGTCTCTCCAGGCATCCTTTCCCTCCAATGGACGTGCAGCACAAGTCCTTCTGCACGCTGAGCATACACTCCACTGCCGAGCTGCCTTCTCGGTCCTTAGTTTTCCTTCTTTAAAATTTGTTTTTAGACAGTATCTCCCCTGTAGCCTAAATTGGCCCCAAATTCTTGGTAATTCTGAGCCTTCTGAGTTGCTGGGATTATAGGGGCGAGCCACCATACCCAGTTTCTGTTTCTAAAGAGATTTTTAAACATTTGTTTGTTTATTGTGTGTGTGTCTGTCTATGTGCGTGTGTGAGCACATGCATGTGGAGGTCAGAGAACAGCTTGCAGGACTTTGTTCTTATCTACCATGTGATTTCTAGCGCTTAAACTCAGGTCATTAGACATGGTAGCAAGTGCTACAACCCCTGAATCCCTTGATGGGCCCCAACTTGTTTTTAAGTACTTGAACTATATATATATATCCAGTGCTTGTCATTAAGTCTTTCTTACTGAAAATAAGGTTCCCACTGTTGGAGACTGTCTCACTGAGTAGTCTGACTAGCCTCAGGTTTATCATCCTCATTCCTCAGTCTCTTGAGAAGCTGGTGTTATAGGCACACACCACTGCACCTAGCTTCAAGTGAAATTGTATTATCATGTGTGTATATGATAGAAAGGAAGAGAAATTAGTGTGAGAGAGAGGCTAAAGGTGGGGAAGGGGAGGGGATAAGAGATTGTTCCAGCTGCAAGTGTGTAGAGGTCAGAGGACAACTTGGGAGTTAGTTCTCCCCTTGCACTTTGTTTTTAATTTAAAAAATTATTTATATGTATAGGCAGTTTGCCTGCACGTATGTCCATGTACCAGGTGCATGCCTGGTGCCCTTGGAACCCCAGGATTGGAGTTAGAGATTATTGTGAGCCACCTTGTAGGTTGGAAGTCAAACCAGGTCCTCTGGAAGATGAACCCGTGTTCTTAACCATTGAGCCATCTCTCCAGACCCTGTTCCCACTTTGTTTAGCAGGACTTCTCTTGTTCTGCTGCAATGTGTATTTCAGGCTAGTTGGCCGTGTGGCCTTTGTGGTCCTGTCTCTATTTCCTAGTAGCAGTGCTGGGAGTATAGATGTGTGAGGCTGCATCTAGCTTGTATGTAGGGTCCAGAGATGAACTCAGGGCATCAGGCTTGCAGGGCGAGCACTTTCGCCTATTGAGCTGTCTTGCAGACCTTCAAGCAGTATTTGAAGGTGGGAGCTGCATGCATAGAGTTCTCACACTTTCTTGGTGGTGCTTGCAGTAGTGGCCAAGTGCAGTACTGCTGAGATGCATCCCCGGCCCATGAGAACATTTCTAATCTCCAGTATAAACACAGTTAGAGCAGAGTGGAATGAATCCTCACCTAAAAAAGGAGAAAACAGCCAGGCAGTGGTGGCCCACGCCATTAATCCCAGCACTTGGAAGACAGAAGCAGGAGAATCTGTGAGTTCCAGGATAGCCAGGACTACACAGACAAACTTTTTTGAAGAGAAAAAGGGGGGGGGGGTAGCCAGGTGAGATGGCTCAGCAGATCTCTGTGAGTATGAAGTCAGCCTGGTCTACAGAGTGAATTCCAGGACAGGCAGGGACTACACAGAGAAGCCCGGTGATGGTGGTGGTGGTGGTTGTGTGGGAAACTATTACAGTTGAAGACTCATAGCTTTTGCACAAATTATGTAAATATATGATAGTATTCATCAAAGCTGTTTGATCACCTGTGCACAGACTGCACCCTAACCGGTGTGTCCTCCACCTGTGCAGACCACACCCTAACCAGTGTGTCCTCCACCTGTGCATATACTGCACCCAAACCTGTGTGTCCTTAAAATTGGCCCTGGGTGGGCTGGAGAGATGACTCAGGGGTTAAGAGCACTGACTGCTCTTCTGGAGGTCCTGAATTCAATTCCCAGCAACCACATGGTGGCTCACAACCATCTGTAATGAAATCTTGTGCCCTCTTCTGGCCTGCAGGCATACATGCAGACAGAACACTGTATACATAATAAATTAATAAATAAAGAGGTAAATACATTAACAAATAAGTCTTTTTTTTTTTAAGATAGTCATTTAAAAAAAAAAAAAACTGGCCCTGGGAGCCAGGCAGGGGTTGGCGCACACCTTTAATCCCAGCACTTGGGAGGCAGAGGCAGGTGAATCTTTGTGTGTTTGAGGCCAGCCTGGTCTAGAGAACAAGGTCTAGGACAACCAAGAACTGTACACAGAAACGTGTCTTGCAAAATAAAAATTAATTATTAATTAAAATAAACTGGTCCTGGGTCAGGCACTTTACAAATTTCTCTAAATCTGTGTGTGCTACTTTATCTTTACACAAGCTCAGAGGAGGATCTGAGAGCATTCTTTTATAGCTGAAAAGAACTTGAGGCTCAGTGCCATCACGACTTGACCAAAGTCTACTTTACCAGTAAACTGACGCCCAAGGATTTGCTGTCTTATCCTTATGAAATGCTCTATTATACAACTGTCCTACACCATTGGCTAGATGAGTTACTACCAGATTGGAATATTTATCTCAGGTGTATTGTGAAAGTTCTGATATATATATATATATATCCTTTTTATTCTTAACAGTTTCTTTTTATTTGTGTGTATGTTATATGCCTTTTTGTATGTTGACTGAGGTTTTTGTCCCACCTGGTCCTGCAGCTGTTCAGTCTCAAAGAAACACGCAGAGGCCTATACTAATTATAAACTGGTTGGCCTATTAGCTCATGCTTCTTATTAACTAATTCTTACATCTTACATTAACCCATAATTTTGTCTGTGTTAGCCACGGCGACTTAGTATCTTTTATCAGTAAAGCATTCTCATCTGTTTCCTCCTCATCTGGGTGACGACTGCAAACTGAGCCTTTCCTCTTCCCAGAATTCTCCTGTTCTCATTGCCCCACCTATACTTCCTGCCTGGCTACTGGCCAGTCAGCGTTTTATTAAAATACAAGTAACAAATCTTTACAGGGTACAAGATTATTTTCCCATAGCAATTCCTCCCCCCTCCTCTTTTTTTCAAAACAAGAACTCTGAATCTAATCTCCCTTGTTTAGCTCTTCCTGACCATTATCCATAACAACTTGTAACCAACACTCTAAACAAAGAAAAACATCTATAATCCATTTTTTTTTTTGGTTATGTGGACATAATTTTCTAGGCTACTTCCTACTGATTGGGGCGCTGATAATCTTATGGGCACATAAAGAAAATTTAGAATTATGATCAAGTCCTGACTGGAATACTCTGTGAGGCTTCATCATCTCAGCCAGCAGTCTTGAATCTGTTCTAGATGTAGAACTCAGACATCTGGGCACCCACTTCTATCAGAGATTTCTCAGGGACTCTTCCTTGATCAAACCTGAATTTTCTTAAACCACAGCCTCTCATTTCCTATGGAAACAAAGGCAAAACCTCTTCTCCAAAGTAGCATATCTTTTGATTTCAGTTTTCAAGTCAAGGCATTTTCAAATTACCTATCTTGGATTAATCCAGCAGCATTTATAATCAAATATCTTTTAGCAGCTGTTGTTTCTTCCTTACTCATCAAACCATTCACAGACAACATGGTAACATGCAGTATCCAGACTCTCTGTGTATTTTCCATCTTTACATGGCTTTATTTTAAACTGTTTCTTTTATTTTTTTATTTTATTTATTTAATTTTTTTTGAGGTTTCTTTGAATATCTTTGTCTGTCCTGGCACTCACTCTGTGTAGACCAGTTTGTCCTTGAACTGTTGGGATTAAAGGTGTGTGCCACACCCAACTACTCTCTATTTTTTTATTTTAAAGTCTTTATCCTTTTTCTTTTCCCTCCTAAGCCTACATTTATTTTTAACACACTGTAAACCATTTAAATGTTTTTTTTTTCATCTTTGAATCTATCTTTACTGTATATCTCTCTTTTTCTGACCACATGAGTCTTTAATTTGCCAAGCGATATGGCTAAAATTAAAGCCATGGCTTTGACAGCTGTATCCACCCCATTCCTTAGCTTTCTGAGAGTCTGGCATCATGACGGAGGTACTGGCCAGAGCCATGTTTAATGCCACAATTCTGTGGAGTTTCAAGGTCCCTGCCACCACCAAGAAGCATGCTGTCAGCTACTCATAAACACTATGTGTTTGGCGACAGGGCCTCTTAAAAGATCTGCAAGGTTTTTACAGCTAAAGTTGAGTCAGGAAGCCTCACTTAAATGAGACACACTTGCCTATAGCAGACAGAGCCCACACGAGTAAATACTGCTACCAAGAAGCCGTGCTTATCTCTGTTCTTTTGTCTAGAATTACTTCCCAAGCTCTCTCAGGTTTTAAGTGGATTCAGTTGTCCACATTAGCACCATTTATTGTCTGAGGTTCCTGTTCCACCAGGTCCCACAGGCATTCAGTCCCAGAGAAATACACAGAGGTCTATATTATCATATTCTGGCTGGCCTGTTAGCTCAGGATTTCTTATTAACTAATTCTTACAGCTTACATTAACCCATAATTCTTGTCTGTGTTAGCCATGTGGCTTGATACCTTTTATCAGTGAGGTTTTCTCATCTTACTTCCTCTGCGTCTGGGTGACAACTGGAGACTCAGCCTTTCCTCTTCCCAGAATTCTCCTGTTCTTTTTGCCTCCGCCTTTACTTCCTGCCTAGCTACTGGCCAATCAGCGTTTTATTAAAATACAAGTAACAAATCTTTTCAGGGTACAAGATCATTGTCCCATAGCATGTGTGTATGTATTTTCACATGTTCTGTATATGTATGTGTGCATGTTCACATGGGGTGTCCTCCTCTGCCACGCTTTACCTTATGTTTGTTTGTCATTTAGGTTTTAGTAGCTGGCCAGGAAACCTCTAGCTTCTGCGGTTTACACCCTCCCCCAACTTTCTCCACGGGCACTGAGATCAGAACTGTGGTCCCCATGTTTGTACAGCATGTACTTTACCCACTGAACTGTTTTTCCAACCCCGCAGCCCCTGTTTTGACATACTTGGTTGTTATGTCAATCTGTGTATCTTGTGTGCTCCTGAGGTGACGCAGTTGTTAAGGTATTTCACAGACTGCCTGATGTGTTATGCCCACAGTCATGTGGTGAAAGTAGAGACTTCACTCCCCACAGTTATCCTCTGACACACATGTGTGCAGTGGGTATGAGCACAGACACAAAAATAATAAGGTAGTAAAACATGTATGTACATGTATCTTTTTGTAAGTACAGAGAGAATAACAAACATTGAAATGGTTGAGATACCTGGACTTATTGCAGAATTTGTCTTTTAATAAGCATGGTGTGTATACACAAACACACTGGGAGTATTCTTTGTTTGTTTTTAGAGATGGGGGGGGTCTTACTATGCAACCTTGGCCAGCCTGAAGATTGCTCACTGAGACCCATCCCTCTGTGTCCTGGTGTAGGGATTATTAAGGGTGTGCACACACCATGCCCTGCTCAGTTAGCATGTGTTACTTGCAGCTTTTCTTCTGTAAGACTTTTTTAAAAATCAAGTAAATTTTCAGAAAACCTAACCAAGCTTTTTACCTTTTCCTTTTGTTTTCTAGGTGATTCCTGTGGCCTCTTCAGGCTCTCCTGTGGGAGATGTGCCCTTCATCCGGTCAGGGTTGCTGGGCTTTGTAGGGCCGGTAGGTGACGGTTTCCTGTTGATTTTGCTACATACGATCTAAACATTTGAACCTTAATTCACGAACTGCACAATTCTGAGTAACTGAAGGTGCCACAAGTCCTCCCTCTCCTGTCTTCAGCTGGTCTCACTACATGGTCCTGGCCGGCTCGCAGAGACCCTGCCTCCGCCACCACACCAGGCACTTGAGTTCTATTTAGATGATTGCGTAAGACTGTCATAGGAGCTGGACAGTGCCCGCTTTTTGTCCCAGCACTTGGGAGGAGAGGCAGGAGGATCTCTGAGCTCGATGCTAGCCTGGTCTACAGAGTGAGTTCCAGGACAGATAGGGCTACACAGAGAAACCATGTCTTGAAAAACTAGAGAGAGAGAGAGAGAGAGAGAGAATAATTTGTTACTTGGTAAATGGTATTTAAAGGTACTGGATCTAGAGCTGACTAGGACCCGAAAAGTCTTTCTCAAAGGGTACGTGATGAGCCCAAGGAATCCATGAGGATGGCAGAGGGCCAGACCACGGGAAGTGATGGGTGGTCACTATCCTATAAACTCATCTGTCGTTGTCTTCTTCCTACCCGCTTTCCTGCTCTCAACTGTTCAACTCCTCTGAGAGCATGTGGAATTGACTTTTGCTTCTCTTTCCACCTGGGGTTTGGGTGCCAAGAGTCGCCCTCTTAGAAACTGTATACACTGAGTGTAGCCTCAGCTGTCCTGACCTCTTGCCAGCACCAGAATAGTCTCAGATGCCCAACTCTTTAGCTTGCTACACTGCTGTTGGGGTCTGGGACAGAGCTTCAGCCATCTCTGAAATAGACAGACTGTAGTCCTGCTCTCTAGGATGGCTTTCTAAATCCTGACCTAGCTGCAAGAAAGACAAAGCCAGAAAGCCTATGCCAGCTGAACAACCTCACTGGAAAAGATTTGGAGAAACAGGCATCTCTATTTTAAGATTGTTTTTATTATTTAATTGTACGTGTGTGTACTTGCATAGAGGAATTGAATGCCGTGGAGTTGGAGTTACAGAACTTGTGAGCTACTTGACATGGATGCTGGAAACCACACTCAGCTCCTTCATAAGGCCAGTGTATTCCTAACCACCAAGCCTAATCTCCACCCCCTCTTCTCTGAGGGACACCAACTCTTAACGCAGTTGGAAGTGGCTGGCTCCCCACTGGCATTGTAGGTGGACCAAAGCTTCATATGCATAGAGCTTCTGCCTTTCTGTTGTAGCCCACTCTAGGCCACTGCACTGTGCTTAGAAAGTTAATGAGTGACATTCGCTTGGAGATAATACTGGCTCATTGAGTACACGTCAATAGGCCAAGCCTTGGGACTATCTTACTAGGAGGGAGGCCATGGAATGTTCCCACAGTAATGCTTTCAGGGCCTTGGTCCCCGCTGCCAGCTGCTCTGTTGTCCTGGGAAGAAGACCTGCAGCAGTCTTGGACCTTTTCTCCATCTACTCCTGCTCTTGCCTGATGGAAACAGTGGTACCCTTCCATGCTTGAAGCACCTTTTTACAAATTAAAATTGCTTGACTTCCCTCTAATTCCAGTAGTCAGCGAACATGAACTAACCCATATACCCGTGGCTGGGAAAGTAAGTGACACGTGGTTATAGTTTCCTCCCTGTGAAATTCCCATCTAAGAATATAAATGAATTCATCACAGACTGTAAGACCTCAGTGTATGCTAACTAGTGGCTCAGCTAAACCTGATGACTTGAGTTCAGTCCCTAGGACATGTTGACAGAAGTTTCTGTCCCACCAGGTCCCACAGCCATTTGGTCCCAAATAAATACACAGAGGTCTACATTAATCATAAACTGGTTGGCCTAGTAGCTGAGGCTTCTTATTAATTAATTCTTACATCTTACATTAACCCAATTCTTGTCTGTGTCAGCCACGTACCTTGGCTTGGTACCACGTGGCTTGGTACCTTTCATCAGCGAGGCATTCTCATCTTGTTTCCTCTATGTCTGGGTGACAACTGCAGACTGAGCTTTCCTCTTCCCAGAATTCTCTTGTTCTCATTGCCCGGCCTCTACTTTCTGCCTGGTAGCCCCATCTATACTTCCTGTCTGGCTACTGGCCAAACAGCATTTTATTAAACAAATACAAGAAACAAATCTTTACAGGGTAAATCCATTGTCCCGCAGCAAGGACACACATGGTGGAGGAGAGAACTGGCGCCTTTGAGTTGTCCTCTGGCTCCACAAGCATGCAGTGGCATGCCTGTGCCCACCCACACGTGCACACACAAAAGAAGTGGTGTGACTTTTAAACAGACTTCATTGACTCAAAAATGCCACTTTCTCACCGATTCCAGAGGGTTTCTTTTAAAAAAAATCCAATTGAGGTGGATTTAATCCACATTCAATCCCACATGCCTTTAATCCCAGCATTCAGATGGTAGAGGTAGGCAGATCTCAGTGAATTTGAGGCCAGCCAAGTGGTTTCCAGGACAGCCATGACTACACAGTGAAACCCTGTCTTGGGGGAATATAAATAAATAAATAAGGATTTGCTGAAGGAGGCAGAGGCAGAAGGATCACAAGTTCAAGGCCAGTCTGGGCTACACATAAAAGATAATATATAAACTATGATATTTTCTTTGATATAAACACACAGGTTATTTTTTTGTCGTGTTGGGGATTGAACTGTGTACATGCCTTACAGGTATTTTTCTTAGCCTTGTTTTTTTTAATGAGATTTATTTCAAAGCTGGAAATGTGAAGTGTCTTCCCCATTAGCCATGGAAATGAAGGTAAACAAATTATTGTTAATTTTCAGGGCAGCTTGGTGTTTGTGGTTGGAAAGATGGATGGATTGCTCATGGTCAGTGGTCGGAGACACAACGCTGATGACATTGTGGCTACCGGCCTGGCTGTCGAGTCCATCAAGACTGTCTATCGAGGAAGGTGAGTGCTGCACGAGACGACGGCACCACTTTGGGGTCGTCTGCAGTGCTTTCTCAAGATGCCTCTTCCAGTTTCTTAGGTTGGCTTGGGTTCAAATGACAGAAGCCTGACTTTAAATATCTGGCCTACAGTGTTTGGCTTTTGACTGACTGAGAAGAATAAGATGTGTATCAGAGTCTGTTACTCTTTGAGTTCTGAAGATGGAGGAGAATTGAAGACAAAACATTGTACCTCCCATACTCTGTAGAAATGCAGACCTAAGAATTCCTACTCTCATTTCTAACCCAATTGGTCTATTGTCCATGTGGAGATTGACATGTCAGCTTAGTGTTGAGAATTCCAGGTTCTGTGGACAAAGCCAGGCCTTTTCTTTTGCTTACTAATGCAGCTCACAGCCTCCAGCAGGTGTCTGGTAGGGTTGTTTTTGTTTTGTTTTTGCACAAGAACATTTTGATACACATGGATGATGTGCTTGGAGCATGTGTCTACTTATCCCTCCTTTTCTGACCTGAGTTGCATAACAAGTAAGAAAATATGAAGATATCAAAAAGAACCAGTTCCTGAACTATGTGGTTTTCTGTAACTGTGTGGCTCTTAGGAATGGAGGAGCTCCTGGGCCCTAGACCCACTGTCTGTGGTCACAGTTGTGTCCTTGGGCACAACACAGTGGCAGGCAGGTAGTTAATATCCCATAACTGCTGTGGAGGGAGGGCGGGACTCAGGCCGGCAAGCAGCGTCTTTGCTCTCCAGTCCTTTCCCACCCTTCCTGCATTCATTCAGCAAACACTCCCTGGGCGGCAGCTACACGCTGCTTTTCTGGGTGATCTGACAGGGAACGAAACAGGTTATATGTGTACCCTCATGTTCTCATGACAAACACAGGAGCCAGGCAAATGGCAACATAGATGGCACGCGAGAGGGTCATGAGTGCTGTGGAGTGAACACCTGAAGTGGCCTGGGGACGCCTCACTAGTAAGGGGACATTTGAGCGCAGACCTCCCTTAGATCCAACTCCATCCTCCCCCCTCTCTTGGCTTCAGTCTTCCTCAGTCTCCCTTGCCTGTGTCTGACTTCCGCTCCACTCTCTGCTTCACCACTCTGCTCCAGGCACACTGGCCTTCTTGCTGTTCCTCAAACCTGCCAAGCTCGTCCCTACCTCAGAACCTTTCCGCTTTCAGTTCCTTCTGCCCGGAATCCTCTTCCTCCAGATCTCCGCGTGGCTCGCATCCTCACCTCATTCAGGTCTCTGCTCCAGTGTCCCCTTCCCAGGGAGGCGCTCCCCCAAGCATCCATATCCCACTCTGCTGGGCACCCCACTCCACTGGCCCTGCCCCAGGTGCTTCCTGGTGCACATCACAACATGGCTTCATTATCTGTGTGTCAATTGGTTCTGTCTGTGACACGTAAGCATCACAAAGACAGGAACTGTGTCTTATTTACCATTCTGTGGTGCTAAATTCATGTTGTTTTCATTTTTGTTTTAAGTGAACCATTTGATCCTGGTTTGGTGATGATCGCACATTTCTCTCTACTGCTCATGTGTGGGTGGTATGTCGGGATGGCTCCTCTTCACTTCCAACTCAGGAAAGCAAATAGGATGGTTTTGAAGGAGACTGATGTGTTTGATCTGTCTCTCTTAGAATTGCTGTGTTTTCTGTGTCTGTATTTTATGACGAGCGCATTGTGGTGGTGGCAGAGCAAAGGCCCGATGCGTCTGAGGAAGACAGCTTCCAGTGGATGAGCCGTGTGCTGCAGGTGAGCGCCGGGTCTGCACCGGGTCACAGTCGGCTGGGACTGCCAGCTACCAGATATGCTGTCTTTAAAAAATTATGTTTGAGGTCTAGAGAGATGGCTCAGTGGATAACAGCATTGGTTGCTGTCGTGAGCCCTATTCCTGAGTGGGCATTCTGCCCTTACTTTGAGGTCTGCAAGCAAATACTCAGGATGACCACAGTGTTTGTTCTAAGAACAAGTTTATTATGCCAATAGTCAAATCTCCGATTGTTACTATAGCAGCTGTAAGTAAACATCAAAACTATAACAATCATTTAAATCTCTAGTTATTCCTATGGCAAATATAAGCAAACATCAAAACTATAACAATCCTAGTCAATCAATCACATCGCACATTCAATCACATCACACATTCAGCAAGGGTTCCTATGTCCTAGGCAAGGTCTTCTATCCTATCTTACTGAGGCATTGGTGTATACGACCTGATAATGGTTCGTGGCTCTCGACGTAGACCTCTGGATCAGCAAGTCTTGATCCACAGGCAAGAGCTAGTTCTCTGGCTCTTGGACGGTCTCAGCTGTGAAGTTGCTGGTTCGTTGGATTCTCTATGACTGCTCTGACAGCATGTCTAGGCAGTCATTTTGAGAATGTCTTCTGGCCGTGAGCCTCAAGTTTTTATACTGTTTTGTGGCCGCTTTACTTTCTTACTTCTAGATTAACACACATGTCTGCTTATCATATAGTTACGTCACACTTGTTCACCCGCTCAAACTCTTATCACCACTGCACACATTGCTTCATACTTTTTAGTTTCATTTTGTGTGTCACTTAATATTGCCTCTTAATATTCCTGGACTTGTTTGTCCTTACAGACTCATAACAGTTGCTTTTCCAGAGCACCTGAGTTCAAATCCCAGCACCCATATAATGATTTACTGGGTGGTGGTGGCACACACCTTTAATCCCAGCACTAAGGAGGCAGAGGCAGGCAGATGTCTGTGAGTTTGAGACCAGTCTAGTCTACACAGTAAGTTCCAGAACAGCCGGTGCTACACAGAGAAACCCTGTCTCAAAAAAACAGAATAAAACAAAAAGGCCAAAAATAAAAGTTCTGATTCAGACTTTCATGTGCAGGCAGTGAAATGTGTTCATACCTACTCTCCTTGCCTCTCCCACTTTCTCCGTATCTCCCAAACACCTTATTTCTTTCATGCCCACGTGTTTACTATCCATGAAGCTTTTGGCTGCCCTCTGTGGCATGCATCTCTGAAAGTAATCGTTGTCAGTAGGTAACCTCAGTCTGACCGTACCATGTGTGTAGAGGGTTCAAGCACACACATGTAAGTGAGGGAGCTTTGCTGTGGAGTTAGCGGAGGTGGGTAGATGGACCAGTGTTGTGCCTGTCTCGCAAGACTCCCAGACAAGAGCACCATCAAGCTGGGACCTTCATCCGCTGGGACCTTCATCCCGCACTCAGACACAGGGATAATGGCCCTGAGCCTCTAAGGTGTTTTTGTTTGTTTGTTTGGTTTGTTTGTTTGTTTGTTTGTTTTTCAAGACAGGGTTTCATAGTTTTGGAGCCTGTCCTGGAACTAGTAGTTCCAGGCTGTCCTGGAACTAGTAGACCAGGCTGACCTCAAACTCACAGAGATCCACCTCCCGAGTGCTGGGATTAAAGGCGTGTACACCACTGCCCAGCTGGGTTTGGGGGTTTTTAAAGGGAAAAACCGCAAGCAGGGTGGCACAGCCTTGGCATTTCAGGATTGGTAAGGGTGTGCAACCTTTGAATTCTTTGGCTAGGGTCTAGGGGAATTTTCAAACAATGGTTATCAAAAAAAATCACAAGGACATCTGTAGCCTGTGGGTGCTGTCTCACCCAGGTGGGATCGCCCTGACTAGGGTCCTGGCAGTTTGTAGCCTTTTTTGGAATTGTTTATGACTTTATTGGAGCTGAGTTCATCCCCTGGTTAGGTCCTGAGTTCTTTCTCAAAGTGGAGTTTGTTGTTCTCCTTCACCTTGAGGGTAGGAAGAAGACTTGTGCTCAGTCTTGAGAACATATTTTTAGTGGAAACTGACTATGAGAGTGTCAGGAACCAAGTCTCCATCTGTCAGCACCATGGTGGAAGCCGGTGATGGGACCTCAGAACTCGTCCCCCAACCTGTAAAGATGGAGCAGGATCTCTTTAAGGATGAGTGGAAGTGCCTGGTCTGCACCGACTAGACAGTGGTGATCTTATTAATATAAAATGATGATGATATTACCCACTGTGAGTCTCATGCAGGCTGAGACTTCTCTGTCTTCTTTGTTCTCCACTCAGCACCAGAGCTTGAGAGCGATGCTAGCATGCAGCGTAGTACGATTCAGAAATATTTGTTGGCTAAATGTACAGTCCAGAGCAAGCTGGCCCTCCCTCTCAGTGACAACTCTGATGTACTGGACGTGTTTGCAGGGCTGTGACTTCTCTGCCTAGGACGCTTAGCCTTCTGAGCAGTCACTTAATAACATAGAAATGATGCAGACACAAAATGAGAGTCAGTACCAGACAATTTCAGATTTCTTTCTCTTCTCAGAATACATTATTCTGAATTATTAGCTAGTCTACAGGCAGGCTGTTTGTAGTACAGAAATGAAAAGAACTGCCAGGTATGGTAACACACGTCTTTAATATCAGCACTCAGAAAACAGAGGCAAGCAGATCTCTGTGAGTTCAAGGCCAGCCTGGTCTACAAAGTTCCTGAACAGCCAGGGCTGTTAAACAGGGAAACCTTGTCTCAAAAAACAGAAAACAACAAAAAAGAAAGAAGATACTAGGTATGGTGCACATGTCTTTATCCCAGCACTCTGGAGACAGAGACTGCGGAGCTCTGAGAATGAGTTCCAGCACAGCACGGGCTACATAAAGAGACCCTGTCTCAAAAACAAGCCAACAAATCAGAGGACATAATCTGAGTAGAAACCAGGCTAAAATACTGTGAAGACTAGGATTGGCTGATACCTGGTTATCTGAAAGGTGGCGGCAGACAGGCAAAGATTGATTTTAGTCAGGTGTGGCAGTATGTGCTGTAACCCAAAACTTGGAAGGTGAGGTTGGAAGGTAAGGTGAGAATTTAGAGTTTAAAACCACCACATTAAACACTGTCACCAAGGAACAATAGTAAGGCCTAGAGAGAGGGCTCATCGGGTAAGATCACTGGCTGCTCTTCCAGAGGACCTGGGTTGGAGTCTCAGCCCCCAGGCTGACAACCATCTGTGGCTCCAGTGCGCCCATTGGCACCATTCATACATTGGTACACAGGCATACATACAGACAAACATTCACACACATAAAATAAAGAGTTAATTAAAAAGAATAAGAAGGGCTCTGCGGGTAAAAGCAGTTGCAGTGCAAGCCTGATGACCTCAGGTCAGTCCTGGGGACCCATTTAAAGGGGGAAAGAGAGAACGGACTCCTCTAAGCTGCCTCTGCCCTCCTCAGGAACGCTGCACTGCGTCATTTGCATGTGTGCGCACACATACACACAATTATAGTGGCACCACCATACCCACCCACATAGGAGTTTTTTTTTTATTTGATATTCATTGAGTTAGTTCTCATCCCCAGTCACTGTAGAGGTTTGAATGTGGTCGTAGGACTCAGGTTGCTGACGTAAAGAGCTCGTCTGGTGTGTCCTCATCCTCAGTTCGCTTTTCTGACAAACGTACAGGATACAATGTGGACCATTTTTTATTCCTTTGGACCTGATGAGCCTGTTTCCCTTTGCTTCATCACATATTTCTGGATTTCTTGGAGGGCTTTAGGGGCGTGTTTCTTGAAGCCCCCTCCATGGGTGTGCTCATGAATGTTAATGGTGTATTCTCAGGTCACCTCTTTGTTGATGGCAGAATGGCCCATTTTCTTGCTGCCCTCCTGCCAGACCCAAGTTGGAAAGGAAGGGTTCGAGGATTGTTGAAAGGAAAACTGGGTGGCTGATATCACTTCCAGATCACAGGGAGGTAGAGAGTGGAGGTGTGAACAGGCATATCTGGGGACTTAGTGATCTACTGGACTCCCACCCTGGGATGGATAGAGAGGTACCCTGCCGAAAAATTATGGGCTCTGTCAGGATATATCAAATGTTCTCAAAGTAATCTCCTTGTTTTTCTTTGTGTTTTTCCAGGCAATTGATAGCATCCATCAAGTAGGCGTTTACTGTCTTGCTTTGGTGCCTGCCAACACATTACCAAAAACTCCACTAGGAGGAATCCATATATCTCAGACAAAACAGCTCTTTCTGGAGGGATCTCTGCACCCGTGTAATATCCTCATGTGTCCACATACATGTGTGACGAACTTGCCCAAACCCCGACAAAAGCAGCCAGGTAATAATCTAGCTTCTAGCCATGACATTACAATGCAGCTTTTTGAAGGGAAGCTCTTTCAGCGCCATGTTGCGTCGGTTTAGTCTCTGTTTGCAGATATAACAAGAACAGCATACGCTGCCCCAGCAGCCAGGAAGACGGCTGCCTGTGGGAACGCTGCCCTGGTTGAACGTTTCTCCTCTTGTGAGTTTGCCACGATGGTCAGCATCCCCCTAAGAGAAAGGGGTAAAGCACGTCCTCTGGTGACAAGAGCAGCTGGTTGTCCATGGGTGCCCACTAAATGCCATGCACTGGCTATACATGTTACGTGTGTGATCCTGAATGTGAGCCGTGTGCTCACTCTCAGTATCATTGTAACATACTGGCTTTCTGTGGGAATCTCATGCCTAGAATTACTCCTTCTCTCATAGCTGCTGATGTTTGGTGTGGGCCTATCTTACCTCTGGGGAATAAGTATCTTCTGAATTATGACCAGAAGATAAACAGCATGCTTTGTGTTGGCCATTTTCAAGGTACAAACCAAAAGAATATGAATTGCCACATGGAAAAGAGAAGTAACACAAATCAGTTTCACCTTCTTGCCTGATTTCTCAGCAGACAAGTGTCACAGGCTGGGTAGAAAGCTAGGGCACTGATTGTGACTGATTGTCAAGTGGTCCTGTTCAAACATGTGTCAAATCCAGTTGATATTCTGTCTCAAAAAATTAAGAAGTCATGGCGTGGTGGCATGCACCAAGACAGTGGGATCTCTGAGTTCAAAACCAGTCTGGTCTCCATCGTAAGTTCCACGCCATCCAGGGCTACACAGTGAGGCCTTGTCTCAATGAAAGAGACAAGGAGGGTACTTTGGCTTTGCTAGATTGTGCTGATGCCTTTTAGCCTCCTGTTTGCTTAGAAACATCAAAGCCCAAACCAGAACTCTCCAGTGCCCCCCTCTGCTCCCGGCCCCTACCCTGCATGGTGAGTAGAGGAAAAGCAGACAGTGGGAGGATTAGAAAGGAAGGTGTGACATTTGAATCTATTTTATGAGGTGGCTGTTACTGACAGGTGAGCAGCGTGTACAGTAATGAGGTATGTACCCTGCATTGCTCTAACATGGAGAAGTCGGTCATTGTGCTTGCTGTGGTCCACTGTCCCAAAGTCTTATCCCACCCTTGGCCAGACCGTTAGAACTACCCTATCTTAGTGACAGTGGGCTCTGCTAGTGTAAATGAAGGGGTTATAGAGGCCAGCATTCTAGTTTTTGTGTTTGTTCATTGGTCTTTTGTTGTTGGGGCTACTCGTTGTTATACAAGAAAGTCTGAATCAAGAAGGTTGTGTGGTTAATTAAGAAATGTAATAGGAGCTGGAGAAATGCCTGAGCGCTGAGAGTCTTTGCTGCTTCTCTAGAGTACCTATGTTCAGATTTGAGCGTCCATACCAGGCGACTCACAACTGCCTGCAACTCCAGCCTCTAGGATTAGACACCGTCTTCTGGCCTCTATTAGCTACCCACACATATGGCACATGTGTGCAGTCACTCACATAAAAATGAAACAGAACAGAAATGGAATATCTTGACGCACACTTCCTGTGTAGGCATATAGCAATTACATAAAATGCACCTCCTGCAGCACTGTGGCAGAGTGTGTTTAACATGTGCAAGCTCCTGGATTCGATTCCCAGCACTTGAAGAAACACAGACCTGTGCAATTCCTTCTTCGTCTTAAATCTTATTACTTTATTATGAATAGAATCCTATTTTAAGTAACAGCACAAGACGATTTATTTATTTATTTATTTATTTATAGCTAGGATTTAGATGTGGTGGGCCTTAAATTCACGGTCATTATGCCTCAGCCTCCCAAGTGCTGGATTACATGTATGCTCACCCTGATAAACATAGGATTTTTTAATGAAAACATTCATGTTTGGGGTAATGCTTTTAAAATGTTCTTAGAGGTACAGTAGACTTTAAATTGTTCTGTGTGTGTGTGTGTGTGTGTGTGTGTGTGTGTGTGTGTGTTTTGAGACAGGGTTTCTCTGTCTAACAGACCTGGCTGCCCTGGAACTTACTCTATAGACCAGGCTGGCCTCAAACTCACAGAGATCTGCCTACCTCTGCCTCCCAAGTGATGGGATTAAAGCCATACAGCACCACCACCACCCAACTAAATACTTATTTATTTTTATTTTGTGTGTATGGGTGTTTTGCCTGCATTTATGCCTGTGTACCATGTGTGTTCAGAGGCCAGAAGAGGGCATCAGATTCCCTGAAAGTGGAGTTATATGTGGTGGTTAGTTGCTGTATAGGTACTGGGAACTGAACCTGGCCCCCTGAAATAGCAGCCAGGTGCTCTTAATGACTAAGCCATTCCTCCAGAATCTTTTTTTTTTTGTTCTGGTGACTTGTTACTGAACTATTCTTATAAAAGTGCTACATGACAGTAACCTTTGAAATAGCAGGCATTTGCTTTTCCCTCATGGAGTATACATAAGCTGCAGGTCACACTCAGAATTTTCCCATGTTCTCCTCTTTGGAATGGGCTGTGGCCTGAAGTCCCAGAAATCTTGCCTCAACCTCCTTACTACTGGATTTGCTAGTATAAGTCACCATGCCCAGTATGGGCAGCACTTTCCACAGGAAACATGGCTGAAACGGGATGTCCAGTCAACCCACACAAATGTGGTTAGGGTGTCTATTTCTGTCACCACTTCCTACTGTTTCTTGTCCAGAGCAAGTCAGACCATGTCCAACAAGTCAGTGTAGCCAAGTAGCGTCCCCTCCTGTGTGAGTGCAGCTAAGAAAAGAAGGAAGGTTCTGTCAGAAACAACTGTGGCCATGAGTCTCCTTAGCTGCCTGCTGACTAGCAGAGAAGAGAAAGCTATGGAGAGAATTCCTTCTCCAAACAGAAAGTCATGAGTGACCCTCTCTTCCTTGTCTCAAACTAAAGAATGCAGTCTATTTCAGGGTGTGTACAGACAAGCTGGGTTATCAGCAACTCTGAGTTCAAGGCCAACATGGTCTACTGAGAGTTCTGGGGTATCTGGGTTGGCATAGTAAGAACTTGTCTTGGAAAAAGAAGAAGCAGAAAAGAAAACTGTGTTGTGTTATGGGGGGAGAGAATAGCAGGTAAAGTACAGCGTTGGCCTCAGGGAACTTTGAAAGCTTTGTGGGAAAGGAGAGGGAGTGTTCCAGGTGGGGCAGTGTGCAGTGTCCTGGGAACTGCCTTCTGCTTCTCCATTCTCACTCTGACCGTACACTCAAGAACTGCACCCAGAAGACTTAGTTCATGTGCTACTGCTGTGAAGAGACACGTGACTCCGGCAACTCTTATAAAGGGAAACCATTAATTGGCCTCACTTAGAGTTCAGAGGTTTAGTTCATTATCATCATGGCAGGAAACATGGTGGCATGCAGACAGACATGGTACTGGAGAAGGAGCTGAGAGTTCTACATCTTGATCTCAGGCAACAGGAAGTGAACTGTGTACCACACTGGGTGTAGCATGAGCATGAGCATCTGAGACCTCAAACCCAATCCTCCAACAAGGTCACACCTTATAATAGTGGCACTCCCTATGGGCTAAGCATTCTAACACTTGAGTCTGTGTGTCCATACCTATTCATACCACCATAGTCTTCTACCACAGTCTTTCAGGTGTTACTGCTTAGTGTCCACTTTTTAAATGTCACTCCTGGGGCTAGAGAGGCACTCAGAGACTGAGGGAAGTTGGTGCTTTTACAGAGAACCTGAGTTCAATTCTCTGCACCAACATTGGGTGGCTCACAACTACCTAGTTCCAGGGGATCTGACCCCCTCATCTGACTTCTGCAAACACGTACACACACATATACATACACATAAATAATAAAATAAATCTTTAAAAACAGAAACAGCAGTTCTGTTTATTGCACACTGTGAAGCTAGTTCAGATCATTTTCACAGGTGTATGCTGGATCCTTAATATGGAAAGGATTGCTTGGAGAGTGGCATATCTCATTTATTATGCGATTTCATAAGAAAGGATGGTGTCTCAAAATTACTTTGAACATTTTGCAGGCAAACTGTTCTGCCATCAGAGTGTGGACACAATCTTCCGTTCTCAACTTTTTTTTTAATCTTTTATGGCAAACAGTTCAAAATTGCATTTTGTGTGTGTGTGTGTGTGTGTGTGTGTGTATCCAAGGACAATTTGTGCAAGTAAATTTTTTTTCTTCATTAATCCTTAAGCTGCTGAAAAATAAATTTTTCTTTCAACCATGTTGATCCTGGGGATTAAACTTAGGTCATTAGACTTGTTGAGTCTTCTTACTGGCCCCTCTTCTTTCCTCTCCTCTCCTCTCCTCTCCTCTCCTCTCCTCTCCTCTCCTCTCCTCTCCTCTCCTCTCCCCTCCCCTCCCCTCCCCTC